TCTTTACTATCTCCAAACTCCAAACAAACATTTTTGAGCAGAATGATCACCTGTATGGAATATTTGGATCATACATGCAACAGCATTTTGAACAATACGGGCTGTTTTGGGTGAACACACTTAGGGGTTCTTACGGTAATGGTTATTAAGCAGCTGTGCTTAGATCGCTGTGCCGCGCGGCCGTGTCCGGCTAATTCGCTGCTATTTACAGTACATTCATGCCTCTCGAAGTCCTCGAAGTGCATTCCACTGCGCAGGCTCCGGCGGCGGGTGCTTCTAGCGACTGCGCTCTCGTTGTGGCGGCGTGCGCATTTTCGGACATGGAGTAGTCCAGCCGGGACACCCCGACAGGAGGGTCCTGGTAGGAAGTCCTTCCATGTTCTTAAGTTGTGGGTTCAACACCATCGCCATGATTGGCCGTCCAAATGCCACCTGGCCGCGGTTGGAGCCGCCTTGCGCGGTTGGGGAGCGGGTGATTCGAAGCACGACGATCTCGAGGTGACCGAAATCGTTCAAGAGTGCTGCAGCCATGCAGGGAAAAAAGGAAAAAGCACCTCCCCAGACGCGACCCTGGGCCCTGCTAAGTAGGGGCCGTGCCCTCATATGGAGGGGTCCGGACCTTCGAACCCCAATCCCCTATGGTGTTCGGGATTCGGGACCCGTCGGCCGTCGTGTGAACGGAGCGTCTGGGTCGAAAATCCGACCGTCGCTTTTCGTGGCAGGCGCAAGGGAAACCTCATGTTTTGGTGGTCCAAAGTCGACTTTTCGTGACAGGTGCAAGGGATCGGAGCAAATTACTTTGAAATGCACTTTTCGTGGCAGGTGCAGCACTTTGGACATGGTGGTGATCGTCGAGGAGCTCAGATTTCGTGACAGGTGCAGTGAATCGGGACTTTTGGACATGTGGCTCGTTCGCAGATGTCGTGGCAGGTGCAGCACTTTGGACATGGTGGTGATCTTCGAGGTGCTCTGATTTCGTGACGGGTGCAGTGGATCGTGACTTTCGACATGTGGCTCGTTTGCAGATTTCGTGGCAGGCACAGCACTTTGTGAACCTCGAAGTGCAGATTTCGTGCCCGGCACAGCACTGTGTGCCCTCAGATGCTCACCTCTCGCTCTCACTCACACTCACACTCACTCACTCGCTCTCACCCTCTCTCAGACAAAGGTTCATCCAGAATCAGAAACCACAGGGAAAGGAATGAGGGAAACGCGCGGTGGCTGAGTCGGCAACAGTACTTGAAGTGTTTGAATTAGTTACTGAATGCTTAGCGGCTTAGCGGTCCTTAATTACGCGCAATAGTCAGGGAGCGGGACTTTAGTCTTAGACCGCCCGGGTACCGACGCACAAGCGTGTCGAGTACCATTTCCTTCTGTTACCCTGATTAGAAGTGCAGGTACCTTTACAGCCCTCGCCAGGCGGTGAGTGTGACTGTGACTGTGACTGTGTGAGTGTGAGAGTGAGAGTGTGAGAGTGAGAGAGAGAGTGAGAGTGGGTGTGAGTGAGAGTGAGTGTGAGAGTGAGTGTGAGGGTGAGTGTGAGAGTGAGAGTGAGAGCGTGAGTCAGTGAGTGAGTGAGAGAGTGAGAGAGTGAGAGGGTGAGATTGAGAGTGAAAGTGAGTGTGATTGAGAGTGAGAGTGAAAGTGAGTGTGAGTGTGAGTGAGAGATAGTGAGAGTGAGTGTGAGTGAGAGTGAGTGTGAGTTTCTGAGGTTTGTGAGGTGGCTATTCAGGTTTTGACCACGTAATTTGCCATAGGCAGCCATGCGCGACACTCGGCGACACTACCCGTATTTTTCTCTGTTGCCCTCTTGGTTTGCTCTTTCTGTCTTTCTTTCTCTCTTTTGTCTAAGCCTTGTTAGGTGGCTATTCAGGTTTTGCGCCCGTAATTTGCCGCTCTTGCGGCAGACATACACGCCTCTACACCTATCTTTCTCTCTTGCCCTCTTTGGTTTGCTTTTTTTCGGTTCCTATTCTTTCCTTCTAAGGCTTGTTAGGTGACTATTTACGAGCGAGCGCCGCACTGCGGCACCTTGTGTGTGTCGCACTCCGTGTCCAATTCAATTTACACTATCTGCAGCGGGCCATCCCTCTCACCAGTGGTGGATGGCCACCGAACAGGCCGCCGCCATCACCACGATCTTTATGACCATCACCTCTTTGCACCCCAATGCGTCTAGATCTCTAGACTTTCTGCTGCTGCACCTCTAGACCTCACACGCACACTGTTTGGGGTCTCTTGCCGGGATAATTCAAGTTTGGGACAGGATGTTTTCGCTCCGAGGTGTGATTATATTGCATCCGCGCACATACACACTGGAATGTGTTTTTGGGAGTGAAGTACTTGTAAGTCCTCAAAAGTCTTCCAAGACCCTCAAAATCTCAAAGGTCGCTTCTTGTTACTAGTAGCGATGACCTCCAACCTACTAGCGATGGCCTCGACCTAGTAGCTTCTTGCTCCTAGTAGTGCTGGTTTGGTGATTTTTTGGGATCACAGAAGCGTTGCAGTGCTGACTCTCAGTACGAAACGCCCGAGTATGTCGAGCGCCGAACAGCCTGGGGTCCCGTTGGGTTCGTGCGTTTGAATGTTCGGCAATCATAGTGACATAGTGCACGGTACAGCCTCTCAAGAGTGTGAAGTGCCTAAACTAGAATACTATTGGCATTCTTTTTGAGTGCACTCAACGGCATTCTAATATCAATCGAAGGTGATTTTCCTTTTCCAGTATTTCGCTGCAAAAAACACTTCGAAGACGCACTCCACGACCCGCTGTCGCTCGCTTTCGCGACAACGGCTCCGACACTTTCAGTGAAGAACCGAAAACAACTCGGAAAGCGACTTAGTAGCTCCTGGCATCGCTACTAGAAGCAAAGTGCATCGCTACTAGTAGCAAGGACGCTACTAGCGAAGTTCCTTATTTCTCCTCTTTCGAACAGAGTCAACAGAAAACCAAAAAGTTTGGTCTTGTGCACGTGAAACGCCAAGGCCGAACTGTTGGCTCAGCGCGAGGCCTCCGGTTCCAGCGTGGTGAACAACGCCGCGAGCCCAAGACGAAACACCTTTTCAAAGCAAAGAAGAACGTAAAAACAATTAAAAACACAACGAAGAAAGGCACCTTACTTTCCTTTTCATCTCTTTTTTCTGAACCTTTTCGGCGGTGCTTCAGCTGAGCTTTCGGACACACACACACACGGTTTGTGGTCAACCTTGGTTACAAAAGATCACTCAATTTTTGTGCGAAAGTTCTGGCTCAAGCTGCGTGTTTGTTGACATTTTGCTGTAGATTCTTCA